ACACACACCTACACACACACACACACCTACACACACCTACACACACACACCTACACACACCTACACACACCTACACACACACACACCTACACACACACACACCTACACACACACACACCTACACACACAAACACACATACACACACACATACACACACACATACACACACCTACACACACACACCTACACACACACCTACACACACACACCTACACACACCTACACACACCTACACACACCTACACACACACACACCTACACACACACCTACACACACCTACACACACCTACACACACACACACACCTACACACACATACACACCTACACACACACACCTACACACACACACACCTACACACACACACCTACACATAGACATACACCTACACATACACATACACCTACACACACCTACACACACACACACCTACACACACACCTACACACACCTACACACACCTACACACACACCTACACACACACCTACACACACACACACACCTACACACACCTACACACACACACCTACACACACCTACACACACACACACACACCTACACACACACCTACACACACCTACACACACACCTACACACACACCTACACACACACACATACACACACCTACACACACCTACACACACCTACACACACATACACACCTACACACACACACCTACACACACACACCTACACACACACCTACACATACACATACACCTACACATACACATACACCTACACACACCTACACACACAAACCTACACACACACCTACACACACACACCTACACACACACCTACACACACACCTACACACACCTACACACACCTACACACACCTACACACACACACACCTACACACACACACCTACACACACACCTACACACACACCTACACACACACACACCTACACACACGCCTACACACACACACCTACACACCTACACACACACCTACACACACACACACCTATACACACACACCTACACACACACACACACACACCTACACACACCTACACACACACACCTACACACACCTACACACACCTACACACACACACCTACACACACACCTACACATACACACCTACACACACACCTACACACACCTACACACACACACACCTACACACACCTACACACACACACCTACACACACACACCTACACACACACACACCTACACACACACACACACACCTACACACACAAGCTACACACACACACACACACCTACACACACACACCTACACACACAAACACACCTACACACACCTACACACACACCTACACACACACACACCTACACACACCTACACACACCTACACACACACACCTACACACACCTACACACACACACCTACACACACACCTACACACACACCTACACACACCTACACACACACCTACACACACCTACACACACACCTACACACACCTAACACACACCTACACACAACCTACACACACGCCTACACACACACACCTACACACACACCTACCAACACATCTACACACACACACTACACACCTACACACACACACCTACACACACACACCTACACACACCTACACACACACACCTACACACACCTACACACACCTACACACACACACACCTACACATACACCTACACACACCACACTACACACCTAACACACACCTACCTACACAACACACCTACACACACACCTACACACACCTACACACACACACACATACACACACCTACACACACACACACACTGCGTCCCTCACTCACCCACTCACCCACTCACTCACTCACCCACTCACCCACTCACTCACCCACTCACTCACCCACTCACCCACTCACTCACCCACTCACCCACTCACCCACTCACTCACCCACTCACTCACCCACTCACCCACTCACTCACTCACCCACTCACCCACTCACTCACCCACTCACTCACCCACTCACTCACTCACCCATCACTCCATCTCCACTCCAGCTCGTGACCCTATCCGACTGAACAAAAGCTGCTTCAACCTGCGGTGGCTGGGCATGCGGGCTCCATGACCTAGACACTCTCACACACACACACCTCACACTCACACACACTTACACACACTTACACACTCACACACTCACACTTACACACACTTACACACACACACTTACACACTTACACTTACACACACTTACACACACTCACACACTTACACACACTTACACACACTTACACACACTTACACACACTTACACACTCTCACACACTCACACTTACACACACTCACACTTACACACACTTACACACACTTACACACACTTACACACACACACTCACACTTACACACACTTACACACACTTACACACTCACACTTACACACACTTACACACACTTACACACACACACACTCACACTTACACACACTTACACACACACACTTACACACTCACACTTACACACACTTACACACACTTACACACACTTACACACTCACACTTACACACACTCTCACAGTTACACACACTCACACACTTACACACACTCACTCACTCACACTTACACACACTTACACACTCACTCACACACACACAGACTTACACACACTTACTCACACTTACACACACTTACACACACTCACACTTACACACATTTACACACACTCACACTTACACACACACACACACTCTCACACTTACACACACTCTCTCACACACACACACACACACTCACACTTACACACACACTTACACACACTTACACACACTCACACTTACACACACTCACACTTACACACACTTACACACACACTCACACTTAGACACTCACACTTACACACACTCACACTTACACACACTCACACACACTCACACTTACACACACTCACACACTTAGACACTCACACTTACACACACTTACACACACTCACACTTACACACACTCACACTTACACACACACACTTAGACACTCACACTTACACACACTCACACACACTCACACTTACACACACTCACACTTACACACACTTACACACACTCACACTTACACACACACTTACACACACTTACACACACACTTACACACACACACACTTACACACACACACTTACACTTACACACACACTTACACACACACACACTTACACACACACTTACACTTACACACACACTTACACACACACTCACACTTAGACACACACACACTTACACACACTCACACTTACACACACTCACACTTACACACACACTTACACACACTTACACACACTCACACTTACACACACTCTTACACACACTTACACGCACACACACACTTACACACTCACACTTAGGCACTTACACTGATACACACACTGACACACTCACACTGACACACACACATTGACACACACCCATTGACACACACACATTGACACACAAACACATTGACACACACACACTGACAAACACACACATTGACACACACATTGACACACACAAATTGACACACACACATTGACACACAAACACATTGACACACACACATTGACACACACACAACATTGACACACACATTGACACACACACATTGACACAACACATTGACACACACACACACACATTGACACACACATTCACACACACACTGACACACACACACACACTGACACACACACACATTGATACACACACACACAGACCACACACACACACACTGACACACACACACTGACACACACACACACATTGACACACACTGACACACATTGACACACACACACACTGACACACACTCACACACACTGACACACACACACTGACACACTCACACTGACACACACACACACACTCACACATTGACACACACACACACATTGACACACACACACACTGACACACACACACTGACACACACACACATTGACACACACACACATTGACACACACACACAGACACACACACACATTGACACACACACTGACTCACACACACTGCACACACACACACACTGACACACACACACTGACACACACACACACACTGACACACTCACACTGACACACTCGACACTGCACACACACACACACTGACACACTCACACTGACACACACTGACACACACACACTGACACACACACATTGACACACACACACTCACACTGACACACACACAACACACTGACACACACACACACACTGACACACACACACTGACACACACACACACTGACACACACACACACATTGACACACACACACTGACACACTCACACTGACACACACACTCACACTGACACACACACACATTGACACACACACTGACACACACACACACTGACACACTCACACTGACACACACACACACATTGACACACACACACATTGACACACATACTGACACACACACACACTGACACACACTGACACACACACACACACTGACACACACACACACACATTGACACACACACACACACATTGACACACACACACATTGACACACACACACACAGACACACACACAGACACACACTGACACACACACACACACTGACACACACACACACATTGACACACACACACATTGACACACACAGACACACTCACACATTGACACACACATTGACACACACAATGACACACACACACACAATGACACACTCACACACACTGACACACACTGACACACACACACTGACACACACACACACACTGACACACACACACACATTGACACACACACACAAACACACACTGACACACACACACTGACACACACACACACATTGACACACACACACATTGACACACTGACACACACACACATTGACACACACATTGACACACACACACACATTGACACACTCACACTGACACACACACTGACACACACACAGACACACACACACATTGACACACACATTGACACACACACACATTGACACACACACATTGACACACACATTGACACACACACATTGACAAACACACATTGACACACACACACACACATTGACACACACATTGACACACACACACATTGACACACACACTGACACACACACACAGACACACACACACACTCACACTGACACACAAAGTAGCGAATCGCAGCGCTGCTAACCGATGCTCCACCGCTCACCGTTCCCTCCAAATCCAACCCTACCCTGAGCAAAACACGCGGCGACACACCCAGACACACCTCAGACACACTCACACCCACTCACACACACTCACACCCACTCACACTCACACCCACTCACACCTTAGCCTGCTGTACTTAACGCGAGCGCGCAAACAGCAGATGCCTGAGTCGCGATCTCCCTCTCTACATAGATAGCTGTGTCTCTCTACCAGGTGTGTGTCTATCTACAGAGATAGCTGTGTCTCTCTACCAGGTGTGTGTCTATCTACAGAGATAGCTGTGTCTCTCTACCCAGGTGTGTGTCTCTCTACCTGTGTCTCTCTACATAGATAGCTGTGTCTCTCTACCTGTGTCTATCTACATAGATAGCTGTGTCTCTCTACCAGGTGTGTGTCTATCTACCTGTGTCTATCTACCTGTGTCTCTCTACCTGTGTATCTCTACCTGTGTCTCTCTACCTGTGTGTGTCTACAAGGTGTGTGTCTACCTGTGTGTCTCTCTACCTGTGTCTCTCTACCTGTGTCTCTCTACCTGTGTGTGTCTACCTGTGTGTCTACCTGTGTCTCTCTACCTGTGTGTGTCTCTCTACCTGTGTGTCTCTCTACCTGTGTCTCTCTACCTGTGTCTCTCTAACTGTGTCTCTCTAACTGTGTCTATCTACCTGTGTCTCTCTACCTGTGTCTCTCTAACCTGTGTGTGTCTACAAGGTGTGTGTCTACCTGTGTCTCTCTACCTGTGTCTCTCTACCTGTGTCTCTCTACCTGTGTCTCTCTACCAGGTGTGTCTCTACCTGTGTCTCTCTACCTGTGTCTCTCTACCTGTGTGTGTCTACCTGTGTGTCTCTCTACCTGTGTCTCTCTACCTGTGTCTCTCTACCTGTGTGTGTCTACCTGTGTCTGTCTACCTGTGTCTCTCTAACTGTGTGTGTCTCTACCTGTGTCTCTCTACCTGTGTCTCTCTACCTGTGTCTCTCTACCTGTGTCTCTCTACCAGGTGTGTCTCTACCTGTGTCTGTCTACCTGTGTCTCTCTACCTGTGTCTCTCTACCTGTGTGTGTCTACCTGTGTGTGTCTACCTGTGTCTCTCTAACTGTGTGTGTCTCTACCTGTGTGTCTCTCTACCTGTGTCTCTCTACCTGTGTCTCTCTACCTGTGTGGTTCTCGACGTGACAGAAAGACAGAACACACAGGTACGTGGGCACACACAGGCGTACACAAATAGTCTACACTACACTATACACTACTACACTATACACTACACTATACACTACTACACTACACTATACACTACACTATACACTACTACACTATACACTACTACACTATACACTACTACACTACACTATACACTACTACACTATACACTACTACACTATACACTACTACACTATACACTACTACACTATACACTACACTATACACTACTACACTATACACTACTACACTATACACTACACTATACACTGCACTATACACTACACACTACTACACTATACACTACTACACTATACACTACACTATAAACTACACGATACACTACACTATACACTACACTATACACTACTACACTATACACTACACTATACACTACACTATACACTACTACACTATACACTACTACACTATACACTACTACACTATACACTACTACACTATACACTACTACACTATACACTACTACACTATACACTACTACACTATACACTACTACACTATACACTACTACACTATACACTACTACACTATACACTACTACACTATACACTACTACACTATACACTACTACACTATACACTACTACACTATACACTGCACTATACACTATACACTACTACACTATACACTACTACACTATACACTACACTATAAACTACACGATACACTACACTATACACTACACTATACACTACTACACTATACACTACACTATACACTACTACACTATACACTACTACACTATACACTACTACACTATACACTACTACACTATACACTACACTATACACTACTACACTATACACTACTACACTATACACTACACTATACACTGCACTATACACTACACACTACTACACTATACACTACTACACTATACACTACACTATAAACTACACGATACACTACACTATACACTACACTATACACTACTACACTATACACTACACTATACACTACACTATACACTACTACACTATACACTACTACACTATACACTACTACACTATACACTACTACACTAATACACTATACACTACTACACTATAAACTACTACACTATACACTACTACACTATACACTACTACACTATACACTACTACACTATACACTACTACACTATACACTACTACACTATACACTACTACACTATACACTACTACACTATACACTACTACACTATACACTACACTATACACTGCACTATACACTATACACTACTACACTATACACTACTACACTATACACTACACTATAAACTACACGATACACTACACTATACACTACACTATACACTACACTATACACTACTACACTATACACTACTACACTATACACTATACACTACTACACTATACACTACTACACTATACACTACACTATACACTACTACACTATACACTACTACACTACACTATACACTACTACACTATACACTACTACACTATACACTACACTGTACACTATACACTACTACACTATACACTACTACACTATACACTACACTATACACTACACTATACACTACTACACTATACACTACTACACTACACACTACTACACTATACACTACTACACTATACACTACTACACTATACACTACTACACTATACACTACACTATACACTACTAAACTATACACTACTACACTATACACTACTACACTATACACTACTACACAATGCACTACTACACTATACACTACTACACTATACACTACTACACTATACACTACTACACTATACACTACTACACTATACACTACTACACTATACACTACACTATACACTACCACACTATACACTACACTATACACTACTACACTATACACTACTACACTATACACTACTACACTATACACTACTACACTACACACTACTACACTATACACTACACTATACACTACTACACTATATACTACTACACTATACACTACTACACTATACACTACCACACTATACACTACTACACTATACACTACTACACTATACACTACTACACTATACACTACACTATACACTACTACACTATACACTACTACACTACACACTACTACACTATACACTACACTATACACTACTACACTATACACTACTACACTATACACTACTACACTATACACTTCTACACTACACTATACACTACTACACTATACACTACTACACTATACACTACTATACACTACTACACTATACACTTCTACACTACACTATACACTACTACACTATACACTACTACACTATACACTACTATACACTACTACACTATACACTACTACACTATACACTACTACACTATACACTACTACACTACACTATACACTACAGTATACACTACACTATACACTACTACACTATACACTACACTATACACTACACTATACACTACACTATACACTACTACACTACACTATACACTACACTATACACTATACTATACACTATACTGTACACTACTACACTATACACTACTGCACTACACTATACACTACTACACTATACACTACTACACTACTCTATACACTACACTATACACTACTACACTATACACTACTACACTATACACTACTACACTATACACTACTACACTATACACTACTACACTATACACTACTACACTACACTATACACTACTACACTATACACTACACTAATACACTACTACACTATACACTACTACACTATACACTACTACACTATACACTACTACACTATACACTACTACACTACACACTACACTATACACTACTACACTATACACTACACTATACACTACACTATACACTACTACACTATACACTATACACTACTACACTATACACTACACTATACACTACTACACTATACACTACACTATACACTACTACACTACACTATACACTACACTATACACTACTACACTATACACTACAGTATACACTACTACACTATACACTACACTATACACTACTACACTACACTATACACTACTACACTATACACTACACTATACACTACACTATACACTACACTATACACTACACTACACTATACACTACACTATACACTACTACACTATACACTACACTATACACTGCTACACTATACACTACTACACTATACACTACACTATACACTACACTATACACTACTACACTATACACTACTACACTATACACTACTACACTATACACTACACACTATACACTACTACACTATACACTACACTATACACTACACTATACACTACTACACTACACTATACACTACACTATACACTACACTATACACTACACTATACACTATACACTACACTATACACTACTACACTACACTATACACTACACTATATACTACACTATACACTACTACACTATACACTACACTATACACTACACTATACACTACACTATACTCTACTACACTACACTATTACACTATACACTACACTATACACTACACTATACACTACACTATACACTACTACACTATACACTACACTATACACTACACTATACACTACACTACACTATACACTACACTATACACTACTACACTATTACACTATACACTACACTATACACTACACTATACACTACACTATACACTACTACACTATACACTACACTATACACTACTACACTATACACTACTACACTATACACTACTACACCATACAATACTACACTATACACTACTACACTATACACTACTACACTATACACTACTACACTATACACTACTACACTATACACTACTACACTATACACTACTACACTACTGCACTATACACTACTACACTATACACTACTACACTATACACTATACACTACTACACTATACACTACTACACTACACTATACACTACTACACTATACACTACTACACTATACACTACTACACTATACACTACTACACTATACACTACACACTACTACACTATACACTACTACACTACACTATACACTACACTATACACTACTACACTACACTATACACTACACACTATACACTACACTATAAACTACACTATGCACTACTACACTATACACTACTACACTATACATTACTACACTATACACTACTACACTATACACTACTACACTATACACTACTACACTATACACTACACTATACACTACTACACTATACACTACTACACTACACTACAACACTATACACTATACACCACTAGACTACACTATACACTAAACTATACACTACTACACTATACACTACTACACTATACACTACTACACTATACACTGCTACACTATACACTACTACACTATACACTATACATTACTACACTATACACTACACTATATACTACTACACTATACACTACTACACTACTACACTTTACACTACACTATACACTACTACGTTATACACTACTACACTACTACACTACACACTACACTATACACTACTACACTATACACTACTACACAATACACTACTACACAATACACTACTACACTATACACCACTACACTATACACTACTACACTATACACTACTACACTATACACTACTACACTATACACTACACTATACACTACTACACTATACACTACTACACTACACTACTACACTATACACTACTACACTACACTATACACTACACTATACACTACTACACTATACACTACTACACTATACACTACTACACTATACACTACTACACTATACACTACTACACTATACACTACTACACTACACTATACACTACACTATACACTACTACACTATACACTACTACACTATACACTACTACACTATACACTACTACACTATACACTACTACACTATACACTACACTATACACTACTACACTATACACTACTACACTAAACACTACTACACTTTACACTACACTATACACTACTACGTTATACACTACTACACTACTACACTACACACTACACTATACACTACTACACTATACACTACTACACAATACACTACTACACTATACACCACTACACTATACA